AGGTTAAAAACCATTGCGAATTACATGGCAATGGTTTCAGGATCTCTAAGAGGTTTCCAGAGGATCTCTGGAAAACTTTGTCAGCTAAAAACCCAAATTACTATAAAATTTGATCGTTTACTAATTCGTTCAACAAAGAAGAATAACTTGTTTTCTCCCAAAATTGAACAATCTTGAAGATAAGTGTATGAAGTAGACAACAAAGCCGTCAGGGACTCTAATCAGTCGAATATCATTGTTTTTGTCAAGACAATATTTTTGTCATCATCCGGCTAGACTATTTGTTTTACAACATCACATTCTTAGTGTTGTGGCTAGGGAAAACAGCAGAAGTGTGAATTTTTTCAGAGAAAACGAAAAAATTTGTAAACGATCAAAGCTTTTTATCCTGTAGCTGCTGTCGTTGTTTATTAACTTTCCAAGGATACTGCCTGTTTTTGAAACATCTATAAAACAAAAAAGCAGCAGTTTTCGTGAAGAGTCAAGACAAAGTATTTAACTGACATAAATAGTTTGCAAAACAGAAGGGACGGACAACGAAAATAGCAACTTACTTCAATTCAGTGAGTTTTAAAGAGTGGCTTTGTAGGCAGTGGTGAAAGAAAAAGCAGAGTGAGCATAGAGAAAAATAATAAACACCCTCAATCAGTCAACCATTTTTCGTTTCTGGTTGGATAAACTTATCGTCCTCGTCCGTTTCAATGCAAATTCGTAGGAAAAAGTATTATTGAAATCGATTAATGAATTCATCAGAGGCTAATTCTCGTCGATAAGGAGTGCAGGTTAGTTCTATTTCGCTGAAATCTGATTGAGTTAAGTTATGACCGCTGGAATTGACAATTAAGCGCGGTTGTGAGAAAAATCGACGGTTAACCTCGGTTAATTGACGGTTTTACAGCTAACCGCGATGAATTGGCGGTTTTTCACGAACCGCGGTTAATTGGCGGTTTCTCGACAAAAACGCCGACATGGGTTATCTAGTGGGTGGGCCGCCCATCAGAAAATAAACAGTTGATTTAGTTTTAGCAAAAATTCTTTTAGCCAACAGTCCCTCCAAAAATTTCAACCGCCTACCCGAAAAATTGAAACCTAGATAAAACACTGATACTAATCTCTGATTGGCCTGACTATTGTATTATCATACGCCAAAGCTCCGTCTTCTCTTTGTTATTCAACTATACATCTCTCCTGCATTATGCGCTCTTTTTTTTCTAAAGAGACTGTTTCAGTTTAATACAACGTAATTATCTAAATAGCGCTTACGATTTTTGACGCATATTTGTTTTCTTTCTTTTCTTCAGAGATAACAAATTATAATTAGGGGCACTACTGTACTTTTTTTACTATTCATTCTTTTATCCAGTAAAAATAATAAGTTTTTATCACTAAAAAGGATTGCAGTAAAACCCGTAATAAATCTTGTTATTTTACTACTTTTTACTTTTGTTCAGCGCTCAAAGCAAGAGAGAAAAAAGGACTTGTATTAATAAGAGAAAAATTCAAGGTCATAAATTCTTATTCTTCTTAAGGCGAAGAGAGGAAACTTTCACATGCAAACAATGAAACAAAACCCTGTTCAATGTTTGAAGCTATTAAAAATTCACATAGTCAAAACAGGATACAATTCTCTCATTCAAGAAACAAAAAATTTCTTGTCGACGAACAGTGTTCGATTCTTCTTATAAATAGTTTTGCATTCATTTTTCTCTTATCGCATTTAGACGACCACACAACCACGACCGTCAGTGTTCTTTTCATTAATCTATCGATTTAACGACTTTCTTTCCCATCTGATCTTCTCTGATCGACTCCAACAGTCACCATACTGCCATGGATCTTGCCTACAGTGTAAAGGAGAAAATTCATCAAAAGAATAATCGAATAGACGAAGTGATTTATGAGTACGAGGAGTCATATCAAGAAACGGTTGCACACGATTTATATGCAAAGAAAGACGATCGTTCGCGAGTATTTAAAGCAAAAATATCACGTGAACAATACGATAATTTGGCAAAAAATTTGGATAAACCATTGTCGTTCGACAGTTTTCTTCACGTGATGAAACCGTTTATGATGGGCTCGTATACGAGCGATGAAATTCAAAGAGCATTTGAACTGTTAGACACCGATAAATCAGGAACTATTGACATCGATGAATTAGGCGCATTTTTGCCAATTATCAATTCACATGTCACTAGTGACATGTTACTACGCTATGTTAGTCTTGTCGACGAGAACTTTGATCACAAACTAAATATCAACGAGTTCAATGATCTTCTTTCACGTGGAATCGGACGTGCTATTGTTTGTGGACATATTTACTAACGTTTTCGATTCAAATTGACTGGATATTCCAAGGACAAAGAAGAAAAGACATGTTCATAAAACTAGTTGTTTTATGCATACTCACATGAATAGATCGTACATTTAAGAGATTCAAATAAAGCAATATTGCTAGTTTGGTTCTTGCATATTAAACTAAATACAAGCAAGTTCTTTAATTTTGGTTAAGGTAGTACAGTTGTTTGTATCATCAGTAAGATATGGGCTTTCCTTAATTATCTAAACGAAACTAACACTTACGAAGTTTTGCTTAGTCACATATTTAGACTCTCCTTTCTCGAACAGAAAATCCATGAATGGGATCTCCTAAAAGTAATTACCAAAATTTTTTTAAAAGTTTCCATAGTTCTTATGACAAACCAAGAATTAGAAGAATTTAAAAGGTACTAGATCATATAGAAATGGAATTACTTTTACTCATTTTGAGTACATTAAGTTTTTGCTCTCACATCTGTATCAAATTTATTAAAAAATTGATAAGTTAATTTTTTCCAAGTTATCTAGAAATTATTGAGTATAAAACTGCTACGAAAATCATAACAGATTTTTAATAAAAATCAATTTTTGGTTTATTCAAGCTTTCGATAAGAGACACTTATCATCATCAGGAAAAACAGAAAAGTGAAATAAAATCTCTATATATATAGTATGAGTGCTAATTAATAGAGCATCTATAGAGAAAGAACAAGGAAAAGCTAATAATGCGATCCCTAATTGATAATACATCAAAAGAAGAAGAAAAAGAAAAAGATAGAAAAGAGCTAATAATATAAATTAGGTTTAATTCGAACGTTAGTCATTCGCATACTTCTGATTTGTTCAACAGATGAATTAAAAAATAATGAACGTAAATTAATGAAAGGAACCTTAACAATAAATGGTTATCCACAACA